TGTTCTCAGTTTTCGTCAAGTGCAACAAGTGGATGTTGAGGAGCAGGATGGACAATAACGCGAGCCCGGTCAATCACGCGTTGTTGGACAAGCGGGATTTGGTGGGGGCGGATATTTTCAGGCAGGCCGTGGACATCAGTTTCGGAGATGCGATCACGTACGAGCAGAGGGAGTTGATATACGACAGTTACATGCGCACCATAGACGTGAGCCAGGGCCAGTTGGAGGAGATTATGTGCGACGATTCCCAGCCACCGATCCTCCGTGGCCCCCACGATCGAACCTCTACCTTTGGATCGGAGGGGGGCAGGAGCGGAGAGAGCGATAAAGAGGAAGTGGAGAAGGAGGAAGTGGTGGTGACGAGTGACGAGAGTCGACGAAACGAGGAGGAGAAGATGGAGGATGATGACTCCGTTCACGGTTGCGCCGCGTGTTTTCGAGCTCGGTTGTCTTTGAAGTTCAACAGGCGGGAAGAATGGAAGGAGGAGGAGGAGGAGGAGGAGAAGGCGAAGAACAGGGATCCCAACGATCTTTCGAAAGGTGTTGGGAAGAAGAGCGTTGATTATTCGAAAGGAGAGGGCGGGGAGAAGGAAAGTCTGGACGAGGTTTTTGCATCGGTTGGCGGGGGGGAAAGGCTGGAGAGGATCGACGAGGAAGAAGACTCGTCCAAGGAGGGGACCAAGTCAACGGGGAGACGGAAGTGGCGTAGCTTGAGCGAGTACGAGAACGAGTCCTCCTCGACGCCGATAAACGAGGAATCCGGGAAGAGGAGAACCTTCTCCGAGTCGGACGTTTTAAACGCCAGCCTGTTCATAAGCGACGACTTTCTCTCCGAGAATTATATCAGGAAATTGGAGAGATCCGTGTCCCTTGTGAACGAGATCTCGAGCAATGTGTCCGAGGATCTGGCGAAGAGCGATACATCGGCCAAATTTCCAAAGGAGAAGGAGGAGGAGGAGGAGGAGGAGGAACGAGAAGAGGGGGAGAAGGAGGAGGAACGAGAAGAGGGGGAAAAGGAGGAGGAACGAGAAGAGGAGGAAGATGCTTCGTCCAACTCCGATGATCTCGCCAAATGTTCGAGGAGAGGATCATCGAGATCCACGTCGTCGGCAGATTCCGTGGACGTTTTGGGGAGGAAAAGGAGGAAATTTCAATCGAATTTGAGGGAGGAGGCGGAGGACGAGCAGGAGAGTTTGCCCGACTCGACCAAGTGCACCATGGACTCGAACAGCGTCCATTCCGATAATCTGTCCCTAGATCTTGACGATGTTTACGACACGATTCAAAGATCCGAAAGGATTTCGTCTTCTTGCGCGATGGATGCAGGAGAGAACAGGAGAGGGGGGGATAAGAGGGAGGAGAGGGTCGAGATCGGCGAGTTTGGCTCCCTCTCCGACAGCGTTTACTTCACCCCTCCTGCTGATCAAGCGTCATCCGACGACAAACCCTCTTCCAAAATTGTTATTACCGAGGATTCGAACGAAAAGTGGTCGTCATCGAAGGGAACCGATTCGAAAGAGTGCGACGACGACGTTTTCGAAGACGTCGGCTCGATGAAACCTTACGAGAGACGAAACAGTTTTCACTCGTTCCTGAACAGGATATTGTTCAAGCAGTCGAGATACGCGACGACCAAAGGATCGGTGAACGAATCGAGAATTTCGAACGAGGATGAGAATAAGAATACTCTGAAGCTAAATATCGGTGAAAGAATTTCGAAGGCAAGGGGAAAGGGGAGGATAGTGCCGGAGAGATGTATGCCAGGTAATTCGTTTCGAGGATTAATCATTTTCCAACCACTTTTTGTTTTTAAACTAGAGTCAAGTTTTCTCTATTAATTCACAAATTTCACAAATCCCACGAATTTATCTATGGAATTTCGATGCTGTACAAATTTATGTACGAATAATTATAGGAGTTAGAAATCGAACTCCTATATAATATTGATAATTCCTGACTTGTATTAATAGTTGAAGGAATCTCTATATAATAGAAAGTTTCGTCGAAAACTTGGGAGGTTCGAATATCTATTATATAAATTCCTCGGAGAAGTTTCGTTTATATCGAACAGTCCCGATATACGGAGAAACAGGGAAGAGTCCAACTTTGTATCGTCCAACAATTTTTTCGTAAATTTAAGTAACTCTGTTTTAATCTTCGTCAAAAAAAAAAAAAGTATATTTCAAATATTCCCTTGAAAAACTTGTCGAATATTTGTCGAAAAAATTCCCTTGTCGTGTCACGATGCTCGTAAAGGGGTGAACGACGAGTAACGGCGTCGATTTATCTCTGATGGTTGAAAACGCGGCGATGGTATCGATGGAAAAGCGGGATTACAATGTGCCACCGATGGTTTGTCTTCCCTCTTTGAAACCGACAAAACGGCAATTTATTTATAATGGGCGACGATAAGGGAAACCGAGCTATAAATCATCCCCGAAGAAAGAGAGGCCGCGAACGAAATGTATGCGTAGCATTAATTGGAAAAGATAACAGCGGTGATCGTTCTTGATTACATTGGCGCTTACGATGGCGCCACGATCAATATTTATCAATAGTTAATTATCGCAAGCGAGAAACACACGGTGAGCAGAAAGTATAATATACAAGATCGAATCATAGTTGATTTTAGGCTGGTAATTTACGTGCGTAATCGAGGGAGGGAGGAGGGGAATAATTCTCTAATAAAAGCCGAGAAATAATCTTTATTGACAGCTACTTTAAAAAGGTGTGGGATAAATATTTATGAATAATTGTTTTGGGGAGGGAAAAAGAATCGATAAATAGTTTTTATGAAATTTTGTAATCATTTTTTGTTTCAGTAATATTTCTTCAGTTGCAGGTTTTAAGTTTGGATAAATAAATAAGTTTTTCTTTTTTAATTTTAAAATTCTTTATTCGAAACATTCGAACGATTACACGTTTAGAAAGATGATTGGAGCTTTTTTTTCCGGAAATTGCGTTGGATGCATGGTTACGATAAAGTTAGCATAATTTTTTACCTTCGATGTTGTGAAACGTGACTTCGTCGCTCTCGTGATCTCGAGATACGGAATTTACGGATGTATTTTTACTTTTTTTTTTTTTTTTACAGATCTGGAAAATTGATAATAATAATCAAGTTTTTTTTTAAGAAGAATAGAAAAACATTTTAAAAAATCAAACCCTTTCCATACGTAATTACACAAAAATGCGAATCATCTTTAACAATTGAATGGAAGCATTCGTTCTTGGAACAATTATTATTTATTGTTGTTCATTGTTCGCAGATGTGCTCTTTCCGCCGTCGCACAAACTTACAGTGGCCGAGGTGTTCGACCCGCGGACGGACCGGCCGCGGCCGGAAGTCCTCAAGCAACACTTTATCCTCGAAGGTAGGATCGACGA